CTTATTCCCTTCTATCTGATACACGGCTTCGTTACTCCTACACCCTTGACGTTTCAGAATGGGTGTTATGTTACAGCTAGGGAAGAAGCGCATCTGATTCGATTTCAGATAGCTTTTAATGGAATTATTTTCGTTTATTTAAAAACGGTATGCAATTCATCCTACAAGAATATTAGCCAATGGTAAAAGTCGGGAGGATGCAGGTTTATATCTGCTTGCAACAAAACATTTTTCTTATAAGAAGCGACATCGGTAGTTGTTTGACCTTATATTCTATAACTAGTGTGAATAAGTTACGTATAAAAAGGAAATAACTAGAATGCAAATGCAAACTATGGTTGCTCTAAAATGCTCTGCTTAATGATAAACAATTTTGTACGCAAATATATTAATTTGAGACCCTATATTTCATTGTACACGCAATAAAGATGAATCTGCTGTGAGAATATTCGTGAAGACAAATCTTTGAATCAGTATTAAGAAAAACAAAAAGTTTTGCATTACCAATGCTAGACTAAGGGAAAATAATAGTGTAATGCCGGGTATATACTTAAAGACAGCATTGCACGTACTTATCTAGGCTGCTCCTTAGCGGCTCATCAATCATATGACTAAATTGTATTGCAGTATATAATCCAAATTTACAACTGCTTAGCCTGACTGTAAATAAATTACAGTATTACTAATGGGACTAAAACATTAAAATACCACCTTGTTGTTCAGTCTACCTTTCTTTTCAGTTGCACTGCTCAACTTTGATGGTTTAAAGGATCATTGTCTGACACCTTTTTCATTGGCACACTAGTTAGGAGGACAATCAACTTTTGACATAGAATCTTCTGAAACTGAAACCTCTTTGACGAAGGTACAATTATTCATATCAACTCCTGCACTTGTGATTATATCAGGATCTGTTGACAGATCCGTCACGGCAGGCAAGATGATGGCCGATAGGCACTTCAAAATTAGCGAGTGAGTTCCATCTGGTCCGGCCGGCTTCGTGCTGACAAGACTGGCGAGTGGACTACAGACATCCACTACACAATAATTCTGGCCCTATTGTTCTGTACCGGCTGCACACGTAGGGATCGTCATAAGCGTATGCCCACTTGTTTATACCGAAGCGAAGTGCTCCGTCAATATGGATGCACGTTCAGTGTTGGAGGCCAGAGGCTGTCCGTCAGTGCCCTCTAACAGCTACATCACTTGCGGGCCTCCGGCGTCGCTTTACGTAAGCAACAATCTTCTTGCGGTCCGTCGTCAGTGAAGTTGTCAGTTCCTCTTCGAAAGCCCATGCTTTCGCGCTTTTGCGCTGTTGTATATATTACGCGGACTTTTGTAGGTCTCATAATCGTCGGCAGAGTCAGACACGGGGAATTTAGTCCAAAATACGCGTCACCGTCGGGCCGATTTACCATAATCTCTGCCGAACCAATGTGGCCCCACTGGTCCAGCTTTCCTATACATGTAGGGTACGCAACAAGCGCAGTACCATAACATGCACTCCGTTATACCTGACCAACAGTTTTAAATGGGTGAATCCTGAATCAGCGACCAGTCTACTTCACATGTGGCTCGATTTAGACAATTGAACTTATCTTCCGATAATTGTAGAACGGCTCCGGCAGACGCGAGTAGGGCAGGGGCAGTTCAAGTTTGGCTAACTCCATCGAGTGGTCACTAGCTACCAAAGGTTCCAGGACCTGCATTTAATCTAGACGGTGCTTGCAACTCGTTAGTTGTAGGTCCAGGCTTGATGGAGCGTAATTAGATGTAACATGTTGTGCTGCCCCAGTTTCAATTACCATCTCCGCAAACTGCGCCTAGATTTCACAGTGTCCGAGGAGAAGTTGCATCGCAAACGGCGGTATTCAAGGGAAATTAAAGTCACCAGTAAGCAGGTAGCGTAGCTGAGTCATGTAGTTTCTGGTATGTGTCAAGCAATCCGGGCACCAACTTCGCGGGCTGCGATAAGTTGCACCCACAAACAGTCAACCCTCTCTCAGCCGGATGGAGCATCATAGCTGTTCGCACAGGCCATCTTCGCTTCGGTAGGCATGTATCGGTCACCCACACAGTAAAGACTAAATATATAACAGCTCGCAGTCTTGCTCGTTTGATAGTCTGTCGCACCGGAGGCACCAGTAGTCCCTGATCTGGGATTACTAAGTAGAAACATATTGATTTAACCAGGTTTTGGCCAGTCCTAATATGTCCGAAAGACCTGTGTCAACGATGTGAAAAACGTCGTTACGTTTGTTCATTATACTACAATAATTTGTGAAGGCTACACGCAGGCGGCGGTAAAAACCGACGTACGCGCATGAAACGTCATCGCTAAAAATATTAGCCCTCCGTAGAGGCTAGCAAAATGATCTGTTTGACCAGAGGTAGAATTTCGTTCTTACCATGCACTACTGTACATGGTAGAGAACCGTACCAACCATTCAGCTTAGGCTTCTCTGTAGACTTATATTTGTCGCCAAACCCATTTATTCTTTCTGAAGGATAATCACTTAGGGTAAAAACGGCTGAGGTATATGTTGTAGGAGGTCAATCGTAAAAGTGGAAGAGAACTAATCTCAACTCGCTTTCTGACAACGTCCTAGCTTTTGCGCTTTCACTCCCAGCCGTCAGCTTGCTATTGTGAAAGTAGCGCCTAGAAAATGTCTTAAGACTTTAATTATTTCACTGGTTTATCTTTCTCCCAACAAATCTCACTCACAGTAGAAAAATAATAATTTAATCTTATCATAGCGTAACACACTCAAGGACATAGCGGATTTATTTCTTTGGATAGTCGATGAGTGTTAAAGTTCGATGAGCGTTAAAGTCTGCAAATACCATGGCTTCACTGCGCGCAGATAAACAACCGAAGTGGTCTGACTGCTTCATGTAATAGGTGCTACCACGGAAGCCAAAAGTAGAAGAGAATTATTCGTTAAAATAAGCTGACTGATATTAAATATAATGTTAAGGAACAATTTAACTTTTAACTTACCCAAGTGCTTAGTTACTTAAATAGTATGGATCAAAATGTGTAGGAAAATTGACAATTCAATGATTTATGCTGTCATACTAAAAGAAACAAAGTAGACGGAATCACTAGGTTCATCGGAATTACAGTTATGGAGATGTCTGCTATCAATCATGCACAATTGGGTTAAAAGTGCCCTAGTTAATATCCACGAATTGCTCACACAAACATCCAAACTGGTCATGCGTATAGCTATTGTTGCAACCAAAATCTTGGTTAAGAATTTAATTAGAGGGATAGTAACGCAGTGGCGATCGAGTGTGATTTTGGTATTCCATCAAGTATATTTTAGCGAATGATAGCTACTCGGCAACCAATTTTACTTTAGACATAATTATTTGGCATACTCCAAAAGATAAAGCGGAGTTAACCACGCGTGTGTCCGTATTGATGATCTTAGTAACTGTGCAATTTGAGAAAATTATGTTAACAAGTGTAGCAAATATGCGCATACCAATTGTGTTTGGCTAATAAACGCACATTTTTTCAACTCCACTCATAGGAATCAGAAACGTGAGCCTTAGCTTCGTATAGAAATATAGACGAATAATTTCCCCGTAACGTACATATGTAAATTTTCGGTGGTAATCTTCCGAGGTTATATATATAAATACTCTCTCCCCTGCGTTGATATATCGAATATAGTTACCTGCTTGAAGATGACAACCAGGCCAAGGATCGCCGAAGTCGTGCATGTTATCCTTACTATAATGAAATTAGTCTCCTCTTCCAGACGTTTCGATTGTGGTAAGCTCATCCATTAGTTTTTGTCATTAGTATTGCTCCAGCGAAAACCATGGCATTCCCTATGCACACTCAACTAAGCAAATATGTAAGATTATAATTTAGTCAGATAAGGTATTGCAAATATTTTCAATGAACAATCGTAAGAGACTGAGCAAATGTAAACTGAACGTGTAAGATTATTTTCTAATTAGATAATGATAGTATTTGGAAACATATACGTTTGAATACTGAAAGATACGATGCCTTTGTCAGAATCAAGGTCAACAATGTGCTCACATTCCGTACATATTGCGAGTAATAATCTGTTGTTTTGGACGTAAACTGCATTGAGTGATCGTGGTATTAGTCCTTGAATCTTCGTCGAAATTCCCATTGCTATTTGAGCTTTAATCTTGATTTCCGTAACGAATTTTAATTGGTCGTAAATAATCTGTCCTCTATTTACATGAAGATTGGTTTGAAAATTTTGTAAAATTTAAACGTTGCTGTTTTCAAGAGCAAAATTATCAAAATTTTGGACATGTTTTACAGCATATTTAACAGGAACATTTTGTATATTTTTTAAATAATAATATTGCGGGCAGTTTTGGTTCCTCATCAAATATATGCGTTTTACTAGATCCAAAAAATGTACAACATTTTGTTACCGATGGCTGTGCAGATTACATCTGTGATGTTTACCAAGCACATTATACTGAATTGGATATCAAAATCACCTACGGTGAGTGAACGATTGTAGCTGGAACGTAGAAAACTATACCTTAGATTAAGGCTGAAACCCTATCTTGTAAGCGGATAAACATTTGATCACCTTTATTGAAGTGCTATGGAGATAACTGAAAATCGTTTTGTCATAACCTAATATGATGAGACGGATTCAAGGGCATAGAAATGCCAACATAAGCCAGAGGAGAAGCATAACGTACGGATAAATTCTGGGGAATGATTTTAATATGACTGGCATTAACCGAAATATATTTACCATGGGACTGCGGTGTATTAAAATTCCGTCGTGGCAATTTGTTTGATACATTGTTATAAACACTTTGTAAAGCGGATAACACAGTTCAAATATGCCTTCATTTTATATATTATAGACAAAGTGATACAAAATTCCAGAGTGGAAATTATAGCCTGGTATGATTACCCGTACGATCCAGTAACCATATTTGACTCCAAATACTGGCGTTCCTTTGCAACAAGAGATGACTTTTCTATGTTGCGTAATGGAAAATATTATTTAATACGACAAGCGATCCCAATCTTCTCGTCCCTTAAACTGGCAAGTCCCTTCAATTTCTATCAAAATAGTGCAGATTACTCAGTTGATCAGATACACTTCTGCTACGCTGGGTTGGCTCAATATAACAAGAATTCCACAATTTTTAACGGCGTTCTACTAATGCGTATAGCTGATTTGAAAGCATAACATGGCAATACATTCAAAGAAGTTCATCTGCACGCCCTTTAATAGAACAGGTGAAATCTTTAAATAACCCTGCTACATAAGCAATATATACTATGTTATTGATAACACTTGAATTCAGTTCCATCGACAAACCATGAAGCGAAAACATAACAAAAAGTTCATTAGGAAAGATTTATTATCAAATCCTATAAATTTGCTGTCATTTATATCTATTTTTCAGGGAAAGATAACCGTGCAATGGAAGCTTTATGATGGGGACTTGAGTATCTCTTGCAAAAGAGTCATTTATAAGATAACAAGAAACCGTGTTCATGAGGCTCACAGTTGAGGGGCTGTTAACCTAACAAAAATGATAATGCTTATTTAGCTCGTAGCATAATATATTGGTACTTTGCCAACTCTGTTTGTTTACATACAAACGGCGGTCGCTTATTAGTTGCAAAACGAGCGAGCCATAAATTGAATCGGTACACGAAAAAATCACACAGCAAAATAAAAGACATATAATCTAATCCTCAGATTTTCTAACGTGCTTAAACCGAAGCATTCTGTTCATATATTCTAGTGGTTACATTGTTTCATTGAAAGACCAGCTGCATAGGTGGGCTTCTTTGGGCTCCGTGTTGCTCATGACATCATCGCTATGATTGCTTGAAGAATGCTGCTCCTATCTTCTATGCCTAACAAGTGAACCATACATACTGTTGCGTTGCTTTTGCCCATCACAGAATCCAATGCAAAGCAGAGTAAGGCCCACCATAATTGCCACGAACAGGCAAGGATGTAAGTACTTCACAAGTTACGTGGGATAGTTAGCGTAACAATTACAAGATGAAAGTACAGAGTGCTGTAGATATCGTGGGGCATGTACACAAAGATGATACAAATAAAATGAGCTTAAACATCATAAAATGGTATAGTTTAAAGGTCTAGGTCAGTTACGTGATAAGGTCTAATGTTTAGTTCACCAACGGTCAAGCGACATGTTCCCCTACAAGGGTTATTCTGAGATTTGGAAAGGTAGAATAATAATTTCGACGAAGACTTGTTTGCATAGAATTCTGTGTTTCGGAGGCGGGTAGTGATCACTTCCCATGTGGCTAGTAAACGATCTCTTACTGCGCATTTGTGACATCCAGGTACACGGCAAATTAACTGAAAACAGTGGTGGGGATCAATTTGATATTCAAAATTGGCTAAAAGTCTCAACAAGGCGCTATTTAGTGCTTCGATTCCACCTCCATACAGCAATGACGAAGAGCACTCACAGATTGTCACAGAAAGCATCTTGAGATTTCTTTCGATATAGCATGCTCGACATGAACAAGCGAAGGAGTATACACACAAAAATTCCTTGAACAAAAATGTTTGTCTTTGAGTTGTTAGGCGTTGAAGTAAATATCAGCCGTAATCTTGGTGCGCACTAGGAATCATTTATAGAGTCCGATATCCTTCTAGGCCTTGTGTGCGCTATCCTATCCAATTTGAAATGTAAAGACAGATAAACAAACTATTTTCCGACCGAATCTGTTTTAGCGTTCGTTTTTCAGCATTCCATATTTCTCCGAACTGACATTCCGGGATAGCCATATATTTTAAAAACTACTTAAGTATTTCAGCTCTGGCGGAATTGTGTTCACATTTAAGTCCTTCTTGTTCCTATGGTTTTACAGCTTACCAATTTCCACTTCTGGTTTAGTAGGGCAAAGCTGGCACAATGTATATAATGTCCATATCACGTAAGTTGTACTGCTTCCTCCATTGGATTAGCTCATTTGATGTTTTGCTTGTTTGAACATCTGGGGATGAATTCCTACCATTGCGTGCTGAATCGAGTTTGAACTTAGCATTGCCGTGCGCCGAGTTAAAATGGGATATAATTTGCTCTGTGCAGGGTTGACTGCATGTCAATCAAACTATACCATCCACATATCGACCGTAATAGGTTAAAACGTCTATAACTCATCTCAGATAGATTTGCCCTAATTTGCTCATGAATACACCTGTTTGCGGCGGTCCAAGTGGTCAATAGAACTCTACTCAGTCCTTTTGTTTGCAATGAAATAAAGGGTAGGTTGACCGACGATCGAAATCAATAGGGTTCCATCTGTACGTCGATGGGTGTCCATGCTAATCCCATGAAAATAGAAAGAATCTCCAGTCACAAAATCGCGTTGCACTACGGTAGACCCCGGTTACTTTGGTTAACACTAAACTGGGCGGACAAGACTGCTGTCTGCGAATCACCTCCGCAACGACTCAAGTGGAGTGCGTATACTGCCTGAAATCCCGTGGAAATAATGTTCAGCGGATCCCGCTAACAGAGAGAGGTACAAATAAAGTCAAGCTAGGAAATCAGAGCTTGCACTCGATGTTACTGAGCATACTGATTCCTCTTCCAACGATGCTGCGATGCATGACCGCGAGCAATGGCACTAATTCCGGAGTCTATTTCTCGAAAATGTCGTAGCCACCAAATTGACATGGATCCCCATATCACCAAACTATAAAGGGTGTGGTCCCAGGCTATTAAAACTTGTTTTGTAGTCAGAAGTAACGACATAAAACCTTCTAGAGAACTGGAATTAATTCCGTAGAAGATTGCCAACAGGATTTCGTCGCATTCAGCGGGAGCACCAGCACCTTCTCCGGACAATACAGTGGAGACACAAATCTCAATGAAAAGGCCAACTGCAGGACCGGATTCGGGGACGGTTTCAACAATAACTATAATAATCGGAGCAACAGAGCAGAACACGAACAAACACCGGGATCCGGGGCATCAGATCCTTATACTTTATACCAAACTCGTTTGTAGAGTCTGCAACGCATTTAAAAAGCCGAGCGTTTAATGGTCGGCGTAAATTCACTTGCTTCAGGTATCTAACAGAAAACACTTTGGTCCCCGAGGTGCCCTATATATGTACATAAATGCCCAAGGTCTAATTAAAAAATTAGCTGAATTAACATTTCGAAAAGCGTCAGCTGCCTGGAACCTCATCGCTATCACCGAAACGTGGTTGTGCTGTGAGATAACGGATGCCGAAATCGCGCTAACAGACATGTCAGTTGTCTAGAAGGATTGGGCCAGCAAAGCTGGTGGGGTAGCCTTCTACTTTCATAACAAGCTGCAATGCGAACCCCTAAAATATTCGGAAACCGACATACCTGAATCCATTTGGTGTAATTTACGGCTGAGAGGGAACGATCTTTGCCTATTGGTTCTTGTTTACCGCCCGCCATCGTCTACTCCTGAGATGGACAGCAAATTGGTGGCTGCGTTTAGGCAAGTGATAAACAGGAAGTACAGTCACATTCTAGTCACCGGCGACTTCAACTTACATGCTCTAGAATCCCAGGCCACACCAGGGGAGCAATTCAAAGCAGACCTGCAAAATCTGGTTTCAGACTTCCCGCGTTATGGCCACGTCAGTACGCCCAGCAGATTCCGGGGAAATAACATGCCAGGCATATTTAAGCGAATATAGACTAATGAATAACTGATGGTGGTGAGATTGATAACCGATGCTCCTCTGGGCCGCAGCGATCATGCGACGCTAGTGTTTTATTAAATGTGCTAGGATGATTATCCTAAAGAGCATGCCGATGAATATCATATCGTGACCAAATACGATGACCTCTTTGATGCAACTAGCTTGTCGTACTTAGTCGAATTGACACCTGAATTGTCCTGCGGAGAATTCATCAACATATTTACCAAGCTCGTGGCAAGGATATCTGAAACCAAACTCTGCCTGCCAGAAAAGATGAAGTCTTTCGCAAGTAGCAGGACATGTAAATGATTGGCATTGAGGGAATTGGCATTGCACACCTACATAGCCTCTCCGAACGAAGATACTTTGTATGTCTACACATTACAAAGAAACCACTGTGTCAAACGCGTCCGGGAGGATTAACTGAAGAACCAACAAAGTCTAGTGGAAAAGTATTGCTCCAGTCCTAAACTGCTTTACGGACACGTAAACAATTTGCGCTGTGTTGAGCGCGGTGTTCCTGTTATGAACACAGCATGCGGGTTATCCCAAACCACACAAAAGGCGGCCAACATTCTTGGACAACAATTTGGCAGTACCTTTCAAAGTGTGCAATAATCATACATTCTGCCTAAGGGGATAGTAGCGCTATCTGGGCTTAATCACATATTGTTTACCTCCGCAGCTGTACTGAAGAAGCCGATGTCCCTGCGCGAGTTCTGCTCCCCGGGTGCGGACGGCATTCGCCCGAAGGTCTTGAAAGTTGCTGCCGGGAGTTTGGTGGCGTTACTAGCAATTTTATTTCAACGAAGTGTGAATGGGATGCACGTCTCCAGGATGTGGATGTACGGAATCATCACGCCAATCTGCAAAAGTGGCTGCCGTTTTGAACCAGCAAATTATCGCCCGATATCAATACTTCTGTGATCTCCAACCTTATGGAGTCCATTGTAGCTGAGGCTTTGATGGGGTACCTGAAGAACAAAGAAATCCTCGTTCCGGAGCAGCACAGATTTCCTCCAAAACCGGACATATACCACTAAACTGTTGACTGCTTGTGCAAGCCGGACGGAATCTGTGGATGCTGGTGTAGGAGTCGACGCAGCCTACCTGGATTTCTAATAGGCATTCGACCGTCTATATCATCGCATTCTACTTAACAAACTCTAGAAATATGGAATCGGCGATCTTTTTCTGGACTGGATAGAAGACTTGTCTTGCAACGTCACCTGAAATTGTGGGTTCGAAGCAACCTATCGGAATCCATCGAACTTCAGTACGGCTTACCTCAGGGCTCGGTACATAGACCCCGCCTGATCCTGGTTTTCATAGATGATCTCGCAAGCGTGCTAGCTCCTAACTGTTGACTATTTGTTGCTTATCAAAAGATATGACTTACTATGGCTGCAGTGGAGGAGCACACAGTGTTACAAGAGGACCTACACAAGGCGCACTCATGGTCCATCGAGTACGTGTTGCAATGCAACGTCACCAATTGCA